CCTTGTGTTTGAACACACTACCGCCAATCACCAAATCATTGAAGGCGCAGAAGTCTGAGAAGAGTTCACCATTGTCGTTCATTTCACCGAGGGCCTCACGACCCATGGTGAGTTCTCTTCCTGTGTTGTCTCGTCCCAGCTTCGCATTCATGTCGCCCATCAGGATTTTGATATCGCCATTTGGGACGTTGTCCATTATTGCTTGTAGTTGTCTGTAGAACGCCTCCTTCTTCTCTTGTTCTGAGACGTTTGTAGGCGCATAACATTGAATGACTGTAACTTTCCTTCCTTTTGAGTTGAACCTGGCTGTCATTATCCTGGAGGAGATTGGTTCCCACTGCATGAGAGCTTTGGTTGCTGTTGGTGACATCATGATGGCCACTCCCTCGGTGTGCTCGTGGTTGTCCTCTGGGTGGCCGGAAAAGATTACTGTCTCTCCAGTAGGTAGTTGGCACCTTCCAGTTCCGTTCCATCTGCTCTCGCAGATTCCCAACACTTCTATTCTGTACCTTCTCATTTCAGCGGCTATCTGGGCAGCCTTTCCAGTTTCGTACATTGTACGAACATTCCAGGTACCCATCCTTACTTTTGCTTTCATCGAAAGAAGGCACATCGGCTGACTGGCTTCCCGAAGGCTTTCACCAGCCTGCGTCATTTCACTTCCCCGATTCCAGCGAAAAGTAAGGCTATTGCTTATGTTTTTAGAATTTTTAATATATTTATTCGTTGAAGTTTCTGTAGCGATTTGGTTGTTTTACAGGGGTGGAGTTGCTAGCACCACGCCCCAACCCTCCCTCTTTACCCGGGCTTGGGACCGGCGAGAAAACTAGTAAGCTAGTAGCCTAGTAAGCTAGTATCTGGCGAGGTTGTCTGGGTATGTAATTAGAATTTAAGTTGTGGATGGTGACTAGCAATGGAATCCAGGATAACGCGCTTTTCATCCTATTTTGGACTCGTGGTCAGCTAGATGTACCTGCATTCCCCAGTTGGTAATTAAATTTTAAAACTGTAGTCATCAGGACTTTCTAAATAATTTTCCGTCGGTAACTAAATGATTTTGGACTGGTTAAAAAGGTGGCTAAAATGAAAGCAATTGAAAGGAGATATTTCACAGAATACTGAGCTATATTAAAACCTCATTTGACCACATCATCCACTTTTTTTCCAATAAAACAATCTTAACTATCCCGGGGAATATAAGTTTTCTGAAAGCCAAATAATAGGGCATTACTACTGTGGGTACCGAAACCCAAAAAATCTCTGTTGGTGACTTGAGTCCATACAAAGACAACTGAAGATTTACGCCAACTGGCCTAGAGAGAAGAAAATAAATTTCATATTTAGAAGACAAAAAATCCAGTGAGTAAAGAATATTTTTTGCGATTTTAGCATGGGCTACGCACAAGGCTTATAAGTAGTAAATAGATTCAGACTGGCAGAAAGCAGCTAAAAGTTGAAATCAATATTTTAATTCAATGACTACAGAGGTAAAAGTATTTATCCTTCAAATTTAGATGTAGTTTACGTTGTGGACATGAAATGATGCTGTTGGACAACTTTTTGTCGCATTGTTTAACCTTGGGCCAGTCATCAACCAATCAGAACTATTTATTCTAATCTGACCTAACCAAACTTTAATGTAGCTAAATATATGCAATGCGCTTTTCCTCAACAAAGGTCTATTACCGATTCTCTCACATTTTTTTCATTACACGATAACTTCGACGTCTTGTTTTATCACGAGCCTGAGCAGCTCAGTGGTAACGTGTCTGGCTGCACCACTGCGTGACGCGGGTTCAAATCACAGAAAGAATATAAAATGTTCCTTCAGTGTGGTTGCAGATACGCCTTGATGACTGGTGAGTTCCAACTAGCACGAAACCTAGGTCTAGGCAAGGCTTCCTGTGGGCGATTGCCTTCGACCATCTAATATCATCAAATCAATGTGCAGCGTGATGACGAGCTACCTAGAATGGTATCTTTTAATTAATATGGATTTCCTGAGATCAATAGATTCACAATTCAAAAGCATGTATGAGTGATCATATGCATAAAAATGTAACAATAAAATCTTTATCAGATAAAGACTATGGCGAAAATTAGTGCAGCAATTAAAACACTGGTAGCTTATGAAAAGTTTAGAGGAAAGCATAAATTGTTACATTTTTACAATCAAGCACAGCGTAAGGAAATCGTCTGAGCGCAGTTCTTCTGAACACAGAATTTTTGGCTTTTATCAAGTGGATTCTAACAGCTTCAGCCAAGTACTGTTGTAACAAAAAGGGGACTCAGAAGGCAAAATTAAGATTATTTGGAATATGGTAGATAACTTCTTTCAAAGTCTTGTTAACATCGACTTTAATGTTCAGTTATCTACAAGGTGAGGTAAAACAGAGCCAGGAATAATCCTCAGTTTTCCCTTCTTTAACTACGTTGAATAATGTTCAAAAATCCGATGATGAACATACCTAACTGTGCAACTGAATGTAACTAGCTCCAAAGGAGCACTCATACTGGTAAATATACATGCAGGGGAGCAAAAATCACCCCTTATCTTTAATTTCTGTCTATAAACTTTTCTGGATATCTACTTTTCCTGGATAGTCGTCTAGTTTATGAGTTCTTCATTGAAACAGTCGTTTAAGTGGATTACTGTAGCTATGCGAATCAAACACATTTATAAATTTAGTTCAAATTTCAAAGGTATGCGACTCGAAATGATGAGTATAGTGACTGGTGATTGTGGGTTTACCACCCTCTTTCCTGGTCAAAATGATGTCTACGAATGAAATAGGAGCACTGCTTTTCCCCTCAACGTATATATAAATATACGGCTAGATAATTCCATATTAGTTTGTTTATTAGATGTATCACACAGTCAGTGAGTGAAACAGTATTAGTATTTACTGGATGACACAGTTTCGAACAAAATTTATTGCTGTTGATAATCATATCATCAATTATAATCACACGACTTCGAAACTTGAGTTTTATAGTCTACTTTGTCTTCTCCTATTTGTCGTCGTAGGGGTAGTAGGGTTTTCAAGATATCTGTGTGGACAGATGTTGAATCATTCCTATTATGTGTATTTGCAGTATTAATGACGACATGCATGTCAAACATGACCACGATAATGATAACATCAACAATAATGAATCTAAATCATCAGTAGTAATTCCATACAAGGAAGGAACCTCGGAAACCACCTTACGCAGATATTTTAACAAGGCGGGCAGGAATAAAAGTGGCTGGAATTCAAACCAACCACTTTGTCGGTTAAAGGACCAATCCAGTGGAGCCTTTAAAATAAAATAATTTAGTTTATCTAATTGCCTGACTGCAATGATTGTCAGGTCGAAGTTGTGTGATTATAATTGATGATATGATTATCAACAGCAATAAATTTTGTTTGAAACTGTGTCATCCAGTAAATACTAATACTGTTTCACTCACTGACTGTGTGATACATCTAATAAACAAACTAATATGTAATTACTTACTAACACAGTGCCTAAGTTTTACACATATATTTATACGGTTAGATGAAGAAGGAATATTCTTTGCTCAATCTTCATGCCTTCTAAATGTCTAAATGGGAATTTTCACACATCTTATTCTCATTTTACAGAGCTTCAAGCTTTGAAATTTCAACGGCATGTGCTTTATTTTTAACAGGAATGAGCTGCTAGCCACACGTCAAGTCCTCCCTATTTTCCAGACTAGACAAGCTCTAAGAGTTTGTCGACCGGAAATCGAACCCTTGATATGAACCCTTGATATGTGTAAAAATGGTGGGCATTCTACCCGCTCAACACAGACACATTGCTATCTATTTTAGATGGCAGGATTAATCTAATTAAATCAGTCAGTCACTTTCTTGAATCCGACTTATGCATTTTAAGACATACGTAAAACTTGAAGTAATTTAATGGATGCTTGCTAGCGGGCATGTTGGCCAGAATCAGCATTTTGCCCCTTTTGAACTTATCATCTGGATGTACCTACAGCCTCTGGTGGTAAGTGATCATGTTCCCAGTGAGATTCGAACTCGTACGCACCATTTCAAACACTATACAATAAAATAATCCGGACTTCACTGCTTGCTAGTAGTCACTATCTACCGAATTACTTCAATGTGATCCGTACTAGGAACTGATATATGAGCAGACGCCAAGCGATCAGCAGGGAAATCAGACTCAGACAAATAGCAGACAAAACTGATTCACTTATCCCCTTAGTGAATTTGAACAAAGCAAGAACTACGGTGGTTTTAGCAGAATAAAATGGTACCATCCCTTGTTTATTTGGTTGCCTTCACGTCAACTGTTTACAGGGCAAACACATTATTAAATATATCTACAAAAACAATTTTAACATACTTATCCACACAGAGTTCATTTCAAACAAAAAATCAATCAATATATGCATACAGTAATTATACATATATATAAATATATATATGTAATACTATACACTATTACGAACAATAATAATCATACACAATGGAAACTTTTCGACAATACGCATTTAAATGAAAGAGAGATGAAAATATTCAGTTACCAGTCAGGGCAAAGAAACACTGATAACCGCTTCTTTCTGGACGCATAAATCAGGTTTCAAGCGCTTGATATAAATGGATGGCTTCAGCAAACCTGAGGAGAATTGAGCTCTTTCGCCAACTGATAATTTTGAACGACTTTTCGACGCCCACCTCATGACCCATTGCTCTTCAGCATCTTTTCAAGAAACTCAAATTCTTCTTCTAATTTCTCTATATAGAGCATATTCTCCAGCTAGCTCTATAGTACAAGGTCTTGACTAGTAGTCCGCGTTTAAAGCTATGTGGACAAAAGCTATTAAAAATGTAAATATTGTCCTTTCTATTTAAGCGTTCTATAAATTGACTCCGTTGCATTCATTCATTCATTATTCGCTATTGTTTTTATTATTTTTCTTTTTTTAAATGGTAAATTGACTTTGCATCTTTCTCTATCGCTCACACAGGTTCACTCCGAGTGTTTTTTTTATTCTCCACACCTATTTGACCAAGAGTTTAGTGTATGTGTGTGTGGTTTATGTACTCTAGGCAATTATTTTTGTGCACTTTAGCGAGAGACCAGCGAAAAAAAACGCCAATAAATGTCTCGTTAAAGCTTATATACATATATATATATATCGAACAATGGTAATGAAAAAACAAACAATACGATGACAACGATGTAAATGATAATAATTATTATTATGTTGGTAAACATCAATGAAGGTGACGATCATATGCAGATGACAAGGACAGTAAGTAAGACTAAGTAGTTAGTAATTTTAATCGAAGACGTTTCTACATTCATTTGCTGCTGATGACGATGGTGAAAGTCTTCGACTCTTACTTACGAGGAGGAGAGATAAGTATTTTGTTAGACGCATATGCACGTACGCACGCACACATACACATACACATACACCTCTCTCTCCCTCCTCCTCTGACACTGACTAATGAATAATGTCAAGGTAAAGTTAAGAGAAAACAGAGAGAGAGATAGATAGAAGTCAGACACTGTGTCAGTCACCTGATTCTTGATCGGGTATTTCGCTGAATGGATCAACAGTTATCAATGTTTTCTGAAGTTATACTCGCCTTCACCTACCTACTACTACTAGGTGTAGGAGGCATAGATGAATGAATACACAGTGTGTATGACTGTTATTTTTATCAAACTGATCGATAAGTTGATCAATTGAAACAGCATTTCACACAACAAGAGTTTCGGTTGTCTGTTTACGCTAAGAAATACGCTAAGTGAATAATTGCTTTCTTCAGTATTTTTTTTTGGGGAAAAATGATTGGATTGTAGGCGATTTTTTATTTAAAACTTCAATAGATGAGTGTTTTTGAAGTGTTGGTTTTCAAGGGTGATCATGAACTGACTGACGGACTATTGGATTCTTTACCATTGGCTAAATGGTTAAATAGGTCCCCAGCGAGTAATGCTGAAGAGCTCTGAACTAAGATTAAACAGCAGGCCAGTACTCCTTGCTTCTTAATGGCTTTCTAACTGATATCAGATTGGGATCAATCTTCATATTTATAATTCACGGGAATAATCGGTAGTATAATCTGAGCCGAATAAAATCCTGAGTCGTATCAGACTGGAGAGATTAAAGGACGCACTGGATGCAGAATTCCGACCAGAACAAGCTGGATTCAGGAAAGTCAGGCAAATCATGTACTGACCAAATTGCAACTCTACGCATCATCATCATCATCACAGAACAAAGCATGGAATGGCCATCAATCAAACCTCAACTAGCTCAACTTTATAGACTTTGAGAAGGCCTTCGACAGACAGCGTTGACCGCGAAGTAATTCGGAAACTACTCGAGTACTACGGCGTACCCTAAATATTCATCAACCTTATTCAGCTGTTGAACAGCTGTACGACAATGATGACACATGTCAAGTGATCCACAACGGAAAACTCAGCGAGGTGTTTGGAGTAAACACAGGAGTCAGACAAGGGTGCTTATTATCCCCAATGAATGATATTCGTAATTGTGATGGACTAACTGGATTATGCGTCAGACAGTGAGTGGGAAACGAGAAGACAGCGAGGGATATCCTGGAGTGACCGACGTGAAGAACCTAGAAGACCTGGATTTCGCGCGTGGATGATTTATGTTTGATGTCACTGTCACACACAATCGAAGACTTACAAGTGAAAACCGACAAATTGGTCGAAGAAGCATCTGGCGAAGACAGGACTCAAGGTGAACATATACAAGACAGAGATTGTGAAAACAACCAATCAACAACAACAGCAGCAGCAACATCCAGCCAGCGCCAATCACCATCAGCCGAAGGGATTTCAAAGAGGAGGTTACTTCATTCACTTACTTATCTAGGAAGGGAGCATTGTCTCAACTACAGGAAGTCGGAACACACGAGGATGTCAAATCGAGCGAGAATCGGATGGGGGGGCGAGAAACACATTCACTCATCAACCTGAAACAACCAATCTGGAAACCGATCTTCGTCACTCAGCCAGAATCAACAACAAAATTCCGTCGGTCGGATTTTCAATACAAACAACGTCAAGTCAGTCACTTCTTCTATACGGATCAGAAACTTGGCGTGTGGGGTGGGTTATAAAGAATATTTCCACCAACAGTCTGTTTCAGACCTTACCTTTATCAACAACCAACTGTCTTCGCTGGATGTATACTGAAGATCAGATGGCCGGGCCGGGCCAGGCCAGGCCGGGGGGCCGGAAAGAATCACCAACAACAAGAAACTATGGGAACAAACAAACAAACAAAACAAGAACAAAACAATCGCCCACCAACAGCAAATATGCAGGAGAGAGTGGAGATGGATTGGACACTCGCTGAGTAGGCAGCCTCTGGGTGACATCGCGCGCGCGTCAGGCCATTGTTCGAGTGGAACCCGACCGAAAGGGAAGCACGCGGTGAGTGTGTCATCAGTGTGAGGGTAAGATGGAGGAGATGGCGTGAAGAGGAGTTGAAAGAGTATGGACTAAGTTGGATGCAGATGAGAAGTATAGCAGAAGGAAGACAGAAGTGGTAAGTGGAGACGTGCAGTTGAAGCCCTATGTTCCACTAGGAACCCAAGGGAAGAATATTAATAACAGTCTGAGTATTTCATTTGGTAAACTATTTATTCTACAAGAATATAACTAAAGCCCTGTGGGAAAAGGTTGATTAGTGGTAATTCGCTTCAAGAAGTTCAGCAACACTGTTGCTAATCTTATCAATATCGCCAGTGAATTACTGATGTCACAGTACTTTTTCTTCTCTACGACAGAGAGAAACTATTCCGTGTGAAAATTCATGCTGCTCAAGTAGACCGTTGTTCGTTCATGTTTCATAATTGCAATGGAACTCTAAATATCAGAGTGAAATTATGAAAGGCTTCAGAAAGTTAAACGCGGACTGCCCACAATTTACTGGTGTCTTTACATCTTCAGTCTACAAATCATTCCTCTATGATTATTTCTTAAAATTCTTATTATTTCTCCACTTTAGTATTTTTCTCTTGGGTTTTGAGTGGCATATAGGGCTAAAATAGCACATCCCTACTCTGTATGGGGTACCTAACCTGTCATATGCTCTGATGGTGTTCTCTAAACTTTTGTTGCCAGATCTGCCAAGGGCGATGGGATAGTACACGACCTAATGGTTGTGTGCAAGGTTTGAAAAAGGCTGTGTGCTATATGCATGCCCCTCACCGTGATAATGTTTGCGTCGGTGGCATAGCGGTTAGTGCACTCGCAGACCATGCACATGGCCCGGGGTTCTATCCCCGACCGGCGCACTCCTTTACCTCGCTAAGCTAGTGAAGAGGAAAGGTTGGGCATGAGGCTAGCAACCTCATCCTGTAAAAATGAACACTGCTACAGTAACTTCAAGCCTCTAGCTTGAAGGCACCCTATGTTCCAATGGGAACATTAAGGAATAAAAAAAACTCTGTACTATTCTCTGCGGCCCTCTAAAGTTGGCTCCACGACTCCCCGTATTCTCTCATCTCCCCATGTCACGCTTAGACCAACGCTCAATTCCTCCTCATTCCTCGCCTGGAGCGAAATGTCATTCAACGGCCTTCTCAGTGTGTGTCCGATCCATCTGCATTCCCCTTCACATACTTCTTCGGCAACAGGTTCTTGAATGGTTCATTCTCAAAGTTTTTTGTTGTTAATTATTTCTGACTGGCCATTTGATATCCAATATGAAGCCAGCGACAGCAGCTGTTGATAAAAGTGCGCATTAGCCTGATGGAAATGCTTTTGTAGACTCGCACACGCCAAGTTTCCAAAGTATACAGAAGCACTAAGTGACTTAATATTGAGTTTGAATTTTTTGGATTAATTATAAGACACTCAGTAACTCTTGCATTTTGAAAATTTATGTAGTACTCTTTTGACTTCGCATCTCTTTGGCTACCTGTGCAGCTTTCCCAGTCTCGTACACTGTACGGACAATTCACGTACCCATTCTTACTCTTGCTTTGATTGGAAGAAGACATATAGGCTGGCTGATTGGCCTCCCTAAGGCTTTCAACAGCCCGGTGTTCCATTTCTCCTCTCCGATTCGAGCGAAGAATAAGATTGTTGTTATTTGAAGTTTTTGCATTGTTAATATATTTTCTGTGTGTTGAAGTTTCTCTAGCGGTCGGAAAGATTTAGTGGTGTGGGGATGCTAGCTGGACACATCCAACTCTCTCTCTTTACCCGGACTTGGGACCTGCTAGAAAACTAGTGAGCTAGTTAACTAGGCACGCCAGGTCATTACTTGAGTAGAACCCGAAATAGGAAGCAATGAGTGGGTCGTCAGTGTGAGGGTGACATGGAGGAGATCGTGTGAGGAAGAGATGAGAGAGTCTGGTCAAACGTGGACTCAGCTGAAGAGGACGGCAGAGGACAGAACAAAGTGGAGATGTTTTGTTGAAGCCAGGCCAATGTTGCACTCGGAACGCAAGGGAATAACATTAATAATAGTAATACTCTTTTCAATTACCGTACTCATCGTTGGTTGATTGGTCAGTCTTCACTCAGGACACTTTCCTTCCAAGAAAACACGAAAGATGTATATGTCTAACCAAGATGTGGTTGTCAACAAACGTCATTTATCTCGTAAATATTAAATATTTTCCTTCCTCAGAAAGCTGAATAATCAGGCTTGGAAAACAACAAAAAGATGTAGTGTGTTTTACATTCACAATCACTAAGAATTTCTTCTCTTGAAAGATCTGGACTTCTCCAACGATGTCTGATTTTCCACAAACTGGAAGATGTACAAGTGAAAAACAGCAAGTTTGGAGAAGAAGCATTCAGAGAAGATAGGACTTCAGGTGAACATGGAGAAAACAGAGTTGATGAAGATTCCTGGCAAACACCACCAACAATAACAACAGACAACAGTCAGCCAGCATAAATGGGAGAAATGTGAAAGAAGCAACCTCCTTTACCTACCCACCTACCTAACGAACTGGGAAGCATTGTTTCAGATACAGGCAGGAGGAACTGACGAGGATATCAAAGCAGCGAGGATCGGGAAAGCAAGACAAGCTTTCATTACTCTCAAGTCTGTGTGGA